ATTATTAAAAATTATTAAAAATTAATAAAAATTGATAAAAATTATTAAAAATTAATAAAAATTAATAAAAATTAATAAAAATTAATAAAAATTAAATAAAAATTAATAAAAATAAAAAAAAAATTAAAAAAAATTAATAAAAATTAATACAAATGAATAAAAATTAAAAAAAATGAATGTAAATCAATAAAACTAATAAAAATTATTAAAAAAGAAAGTCATGTATTTTTTTATATTAATAACACGACTATATGCGAGCAAAGTCGCGGGAAATAGCTAGTATTCCATAAAATATAAAAATGACCAGCTATAAAGTACCCCCCCCCCAGATGTTTCGACTCTGTCCAAAATCTAATCAGTTCATTGGACGCCGGAATAAAGCTTAAGTTTAAAATTTGGTGTTTTTCTTTGTATCGGTTCATGAGTTATGGTGGATACAGACACACACACACACACACACACACACACACACACACACACACACACACACACACACACACACACACACACACACACACACACACACACACACACACACACACACACACACACACACACACACACACACACACACACACACACACACACACACACACACACACACACACACACACACACACACACACACACACACACACACACACACACACACACACACACACACACACACACACACACACACACACACACACACACACACACACACACACACACACACACACACACACACACACACACACACACACACACACACACACACACACACACACACACACACACACACACACACACACACACACACACACACACACACACACACACACACACACACACACACACACACACACACACACACACACACACACACACACACACACACACACACACACACACACACACACACACACACACACACACACACACACACACACACACACACACACACACACACACACACACACACACACACACACACACACACACACACACACACACACACACACACACACACACACACACACACACACACACACCACACACACACACACACACACACACACACACACACACACACACACACACACACACACACACACACACACACACACACACACACACACACACACACACACACACACACACACACACACACACACACACACACACACACACACACACACACACACACACACACACACACACACACACACACACACACACACACACACACACACACACACACACACACACACACACACACACACACACACACACACACACACACACACACACACACACACACACACACACACACACACACACACACACACACACACACACACACACACACACACACACACACACACACACACACACACACACACACACACACACACACACACACACACACACACACACACACACACACACACACACACACACACACACACACACACACACACACACACACACACACACACACACACACACACACACACACACACACACACACACACACACACACACACACACACACACACACACACACACACACACACACACACACACACACACACACACACACACACACACACACACACACACACACACACACACACACACACACACACACACACACACACACACACACACACACACACACACACACACACACACACACACACACACACACACACACACACACACACACACACACACACACACACACACACACACACACACACACACACACACACACACACACACACACACACACACACACACACACACACACACACACACACACACACACACACACACACACACACACACACACACACACACACACACACACACACACACACACACACACACACACACACACACACACACACACACACACACACACACACACACACACACACACACACACACACACACACACACACACACACACACACACACACACACACACACACACACACACACACACACACACACACACACACACACACACACACACACACACACACACACACACACACACACACACACACACACACACACACAGACAGACAGACAGACAGACAGACAGACAGACAGACAGACAGACAGACAGACAGACAGACAGACAGACAGACAGACAGACAGACAGACAGACAGACAGACAGACAGACAGACAGACATCATCCCGAAAATAGTCAAAACGGATTCAGGGGACCCCAAAACGAAAAAAATCAGTCGAAAACTGGAGGTCGAAAAAAAATCATGATTCCTATACTTTCCTTATCTGTATACAGACAGGAAAGTAAAAAACAATCGGTAGTTATAAATTCCAAAACGGAACTTTTATTTCTAAAAAAATTTATTTATTTATTTATTAAAAATACACTTATAGCCCAATCGGATTAGTATTTTAGATTCTGAAAAATTCGAAGCAGCAATTTTCCTTCGGAATTCGTTGGAGGGGGTCTCTGGTAGTCTAAATTCAAAAAGTTGGGATTCCAAAGTTGTCGTTACCTCCGCCATCTTGATTTAAAGGGTTATTTTTTGTATCTTGAATAACTCATTTATTTTCAATTTTACACGGAAAATAGTTTTTACAAAAGTTATTTAAAATTAAATTTCCTACAATTCTGCTTTTTTTTTGTACGATCGATTTTTTCGATTTATACCCGAAAAGAGGGGGTGAATTTTTGGTTATAGAATAACTCGTTTATTTTCCATTTTACGAGAAAAATTGTTATAAACAAAGTTGTTTAAAATTAAATTTCCTACAATTCTACTTTTTTTGTACGATCGATTTTTTTCGATTTATACCCGAAAAGAGGGGGTGAATTTTTGGTTATAGAATAACTCGTTTATTTTCAATTTTACGAGAAAAATTGTTATAAACAAAGTTGTTTAAAATTAAATTTCCTACAATTCTGTTTTTTTTTGTACGATCGATTTTTTTGTATTTATCCCTGAGAAGAGTGGGGGTGAACCTAAGTATTGTATTGTCACGTTTATTATTGATGTTGTACCATTATTTTTTCTGTTTGTTTTTTTTTTTTTGCTGATACCTGGAATTAAAAAGAAACGTGATAATACAATGATAAGAGTTTACCCCCACTCTTCTCAGGGATAAATACAAAAAAATCGAGCTTACAAAAAACAGAATTGTAGGAAATTTAATTTTAAACAACCTTGTTTATAACAATATTGTTTATTTAACATTGGTGGCGAAAGGGGTGGCGAAAGGACCTCCTTAAAAGGATATTTAAGACAACTAGACTAAAGCTAACTCAAATAACAACAATAATGTTTTACTCCTATTTATAAACTAAAAATGATTATTAAGCAAAGATAATCTAATTATAACATAAAAGAGTCACAATATATAACTCGGTTTGTGTTTTTTTGTATCTAGTTACTGTATCAATGCAAGATTAAAAAACAGGTATTTTTATAAAAACATCCTTTTTTTGTGAAAAAAAAAAGTCTTCCGCTTATATTTTTATAAAATAGGTCCTTTTTCAAAAAAAAAAGTGTTACCTCTTAAAAAAAGCGTGGTATTTTGGTACTTTGGAGTGACGCAAGTGAAAAAGCGTGGCAATCCCGCCTAAAACGGGACGTCTGGCAACGCTAATGGGGGTCATATTAAAAAAGGGTGTACTTATCATAAATGGGGGTCTGTCCCCCTCAACGAGGGATGTATGCTCACTTTACATTTATAAATTGATCGACATGAAGTAGAGCAAATTGGTTAGTGAATGCGATGTGTAGTTTGGTATGAGCAATTTGGTGCAGAGTTCGGACGTAGAGTATCTCAAAAATAAAACTCCAAGAACGACTTGGTCTTACTCTGCCTATAAGAAGCCCTACTGTGTGAATTGTTTTTTTATTCCCACAAAAGTTATGTAGCATAATAGCCATTATATTATTAGAAATGATTATTAGTAATTAAGATTAGAATTAAGGATATATGAACTTTGTATAACATCACAATAGAAGCTGAACCTCTTCTGGAGTGATGCTTCTGTGATTATTCATAGGTTATTCAATTAAATTTTATACCAATTTGTAGGTAATATTATATCTAAAACAAAAATTGAATAAACTATTATTATTTAAATCCCAGTTTACATTATCTAAATAAAACTTTTCTTCTATATAACTTCAGTATTTCATATACTATATTCTTTTTGTATATGCTTTTCTATTTCATTGCATGAATACATATTTTTGTTTGAATAATTACTTTATTTCAGTAAAACCCTTGTTCTTTGCTAATTTGCAATAATAATGAAAAACATGGCTATTGATGTAGAAATATGAAATAAATCCTAATCCTAACTCCACTTTTCTGAAATGTTGATTAACCATACATCCATCCAGTACCAAAATGGCAGATGTACCGTCTGAGAAATGCTTTATTTTATGGTCCATCCAAATTACAATATTTCTCATAAAAACAAATTGAGTTTTAATAAGTTCAAGAGTTCTAATTTAAATTAAATTTTTGGCTCTCCTGTAAAATTTTCCTAAATTGAGTTGGGCACTTTGCAATTTACACTGATGAAATCAAAAATAATTTTTCGAAGTTATTTTATACCGTCTGGCCCATCATGTGCCCTGCATAATTATAAACGGTTTTTGTAGAAAATATCGGGATTTGTGAGTAGAATATTAGTATATGAGGTACAAGCTGAGGTATTTAATGTGCTTTATAACATTTAGGTAGGAACAACCTATGTACCTCATTGCAGTCTGTGTTAAATAGGGTTGGAATATTATTTGTATTTTTGAGAACTTAGCAAGACACTGACAGAGATGGAACAAAAAGTAAAGAAGCATATAGAAAGAATAATGGCACAGAAAAGACACATAAGTATACAGAAAAATGCAAGAATCTTAAAAAAATTACTAAAATCTATAAACCAATAAGGTATATTATTTTATTCCCTGTTTAACTTATCCTCTAAAAATATTTTTTTGAATTCTACCTATATGCATACCTTCCGGAAAAATACTCCTAAAAAAGATTATTTAAATTATCATTATAAGGTATATATGTATATTTAGTAAGTACCTTGAACTTTACCAAATACTTCGAAATCAACAGATAGAAGTTTTTCAGAAGACATGTTTTCATAAATTAACCAACTAAATGAGCTAAATAACAGTACTAAAAATAAATAAACAATGGCAGAACGAAACATTTGACATTCCAAATACAAACAAAAATAAAAAAGTCTGCCGTGAGTCTTCTTTTTCTTATTTTAGTTTAATGACCTCCACCATAACGGTATTTAGGTCCGTATTTATAAACAGAACTTACGTTAGTCGGGCCCGTATTTATAAACAAAACTCAGCTGAGTCGGACTTGGGTAAGTCGTCCTTGAACGAAAATCGAAGTTCGGTTATATCGCGTGAATTTAGAGATGGTTAGTAACAAATCCGTAAATGTACATAACAGTTACAGATTTGCTAATATCCATCTCAAAATTCCAGTTTAACACCAGAACCACCTAGAACTTTAGAGACGTTGTAACCGAACTTTGATTTTAGTTCAAGGACGACTTACCCAAGTCCGACTCACGTAAGTTCTGTTTATAAATACGGGCCTAGGACTTGGGTAAGTCGTCCTTGAACGAATATCGATGTTCGGTTATATCGCGTGAATTTAGAGATGGGTAGTAACGAATTAGTAAAAGTACATAACAGTTACATATTTGCTAATCTCCATCTCTAAATTCCAGTTTAACACCAGAACCATCTAGAACTTTAGAGTCGTGGTAACCGAACTTCGATTTTAGTTCAAGGACGACTTATCCAAGTCCGACTCAGCTGAGTTTTGTTTATAAATACGGGCCTCAGATCCGTATTTATAAACAATACTCAGCTGAGTCGGACTTGGGTAAGTCGTCCTTTCGAAGGTCGGTTACAGAGGTTACAACCAATGAACTGGAGTGGGGTAGAATTATGAAGACTAGAGGTAGAATGCTTGAGATGCGACTCTATGGGCGAAGACAGGTTATTTTTCTACTTACTCGGGAGTATTTATAACAACCATTTTCTATTTCACTTTGTTATTGTCTGATCCACCAGCTTGTGGATTGAACAATAACAATGTGAAACAGAAAATGGTTATTATAAATACTCCCGAGTGAGATGAGAAATAAAAATGGCTGCGCCCATAGAGTCGCATCTTGTTCTATTGATACAATATGCACATTGGCTTTCTACCCACATACTTTGATTACTATTGCTGCGTTTGAGAATCCACATCGGATGCATTTTTTACATCTCGAGCGTTTTTTTATCCACATCGGACACATCTGTCCCATTACATTTACGTATACTGAATCACGTGATCAAAGATTTTTTACATCTCAGATGCATCCGATGTGGATTCTCAAACGCAGCATGTACGAGGCAATAAGAGAGAAGTCCAACACACCCAACATAGGGCGCGGCCATTTTGAACCCTGTGACACAGTTTACAGCTAAAGAATCAGATCGCTCACTCTGCGTCGGCACTTTGGATCTCAATGGCCGTGTTCATCGTCGTCAAACATGTTGTAACGCTGAGTAAGCGGTGACGATGAACTGTCAACCGCTGCAGCGCTTTTGAAGAAGCATAAAAGCGAAAATAAACTCGCTTGTTTGCTTTAAAAGCATAAAATTGACCTTGAACCCCTGTCAAATCCGTCTTTTGGCATTTTGTTAAGTTATGTGTTTGTTTATTTATTTATTTATATTTTTAAGGTTTTATACCCTAATAGAGTTGATTAGTTAAGTTGTATTTTAATATAATATTGTATTTATGGAGATACCTATTTGAAGAAAATAAAATTAATTCCAGACGTAGATACATACACGTATGCTTAAATTATTTCATTTGGACGTTAATGGGATTCCACCAGTAAGGAATATGGATAATATAACATACCTACATATTATATAGTTTTAGCACAGTTATTCAAAACAGACGAGTTTTGTTATCAAAACTGCACCGATGTTTTTGTTTTCATGTAATGTATATAGGGCCAAAAGGGCATTAAAAAATAAATAATAATAAAAGTATGACATTTTATTTACAAAATAAATTAAATATAAGCAATTATATTAAAAAGGGCCCACCTTGGTTTGTTGAACCTTTAAAAAAATACCTCATTACTGTATACATTTCAAATAATTTTTGCTAATAAGTCGCTCTACCTATATGACAACATTAAGTTTGTATATTTAATTTCCAATACAAAATATATCATTCCTATAAAAGAATTAATGTATATAGTTTGTCGATAAGGTATGTATAACTCTATAATACTAGACAAATTTTATTAATACATAAAAATAATTCAGACTCAATATGAATATTAGCAATGACCAAAAATGTATAACACCTAAGTACCTAAATCAAAAATACTTTGTAAAAAAATAAGTAAAGCATTAGATAGGGATTATTTTAACAATTTTCGGTTTTTGTAATAAAACGTTATCATTTCTTACCTCACAGCAAGAAGCCTGTAAATTTTAAAAGACAACAGCAATTTTTCATTATTTTTAATGTAGAATAACAACAGTAAGAATGTAGTAAAAGTAAAACAATAATATAATAAAAAAATGTATTAAAAATAAGTGAAATAACATAATTTTATGTTTATTTATTAGAAATTAGAAAAGCGAAATAAAACTTGTTTAGTGGGCTGATTTTCTATATTTTAGTTTTTAAATGGGAATGGAACTGTTGACGTGACTTGTTTATGTTATGCTTGGCTTTCAATACTGATACTTCAAATTAAGTAAGTTTTTTTCACTAGCACATATATGAGATACCACTCTTTTTTGAAAAATGTTTTGAATCAGATCACGTTTTCTTTTAAAGCGGGACATTCTTGCATTCTTTGGGGACAATGGAACACATAACTTGAAAGTGGGTTTGTCTTGCCTAAAGCGGGACTTATGATGTTAGGTAGGTATGACTCAAAAATAAAAGTTTACTTCAGGTTGATTTTCATTTTTATCTCTTCCTCCTTTTTCGAATCAGTTAGTTTTGAACTGGTTTGAGACACATGCCTCAAGTTCTGGGCTGGAGTCCAGTTTAAATGATTACTAACTTTGAAGGAATTCTGTTTCCCTAAAAATAAGAAAGTCATACTTGATGTCTCTATTATTAAACACTTTTATGTATCCTTGATATATGTAAAAAGATCACTTTTTGATATGTATGTTATTAGTATCATGAGTTCCTTTAATTTATTGGTGCAGACCAGACAGTTGATTAAACACAATAAATAGCATTCTCATTCTGCTCTTCAAAGTATGATCTAGTTACAGTATGTTTTTATTTGTGTGTCAAAAAAATGTATTTTACCTTTAATAAAATGACTATTACAATTTCTTTGATTAGTCTAAGTTTGTAGAATTCAAGATCCATAGAGGCAATAAAAACATCATGACTTTACAACCCAAAATAATACAAGTTGTAGGTTTTTCGCCGTAAAATTGTCAAAACCACTTTCAGAAGGGTACTTATATAAACTCTAATTCACTGTACAAATCAATTCAACTCAATTTTTTTTTAAAAATACTAAAGTAAATAATTCACATAACCTTCTTTGTGCCAACCAAATGTCATTCCATTTTTTGACAGATTTGAGGTTGAGAAAACAAATCGTAAACAAAAATGATCGTTCACAGCGTCATTCCAACCGCTTATGAAACATGTTTCTTTGCTTTTAAAACATGTTTGACGACGATGAACACGGTCAATGTTTCAGTTTATACACTGTGCAACTCGGATAATACAATATATGACAACCGCCTACAATAAAACAGCAGTCTTCTGCGTATCCTGAATTTGTATCCCTGGGGTAGTATTCTCGAGTCACGAATATAGATTCGCATGCGAGATTTATGATTTGTCTCACTTGGTTTTCGTTCAACAAAGTGAGACACATTGTAAAACACGTATGCGAATGTCGGTATTCGTGATTCGAGAATACTACCCCTGAAGTAAAAGTTGGAAATGCTTTTGCCAGTTCTCCCACTTTATACACATAAATTGACCGGTTGGCAGCGGATCTCACCGAAGTGGACGCGATACATTGGCGTACAAAATTATTTTATAGATGTTAATAACAATTTCGAGTAAATAGTTTAATAAATTATGAATAGCTGTTGAAATGTTGTAAAATTATAATTTGAATATTATAATACATGTTTAATAATTATTTATAATCCATAAATACATGCGATTGTCCGGTTCCGCCGATAACAATTTAAAATTTCTTATTCTATGAAACGACACTGGCAGCACAGAACACTTACTCACTGGCAGGTAAACATTACTCTGAAATTCTCGGAGCCGCCCGAAGTGGTTTGACGTTTACCCCCTCTCTACCTACCAAAAGACTTTTCAACTTTTACCACAGAATACTTTTATATACATGGTGTAAGGTCCACCATGTTTTATATATATATGCCGCGTTTGAGAATCCACATCGGATGCATCTGAGATGTAAAAAATCTTTGATCACGTGATTCAGTATACGTAAATGTAATGGGACAGATGTGTCAGATGTGGATAAAAAAACGCTCGAGATGTAAAAAATGCATCCGATGTGGATTCTCAAACGCAGCAATAATAGTGGTTATTCTGTGCTTTTACTTTCTCTTTTTTTAAAAAATAAAATGTGAAGTAAATAAACGACATGGAGTCAAGAGTTAATCCGTTACTCTGGAGTAAGTGGAGTAAGTTAATGAACACACCCCAGGCTGGCTGCTGGCAGTTTTGAAACATGGCCAACAGTCGAATGACGTTAAATTTTGGTTTTTAAATAAAAAAAAATCTACAAAATTATTTAATATAATTGAAATTCTCAGAGTGTATTCCATAGGGTGGGAGAATATATTCATGTAAACTCAATAATAAATAAAAAGATAAACAATGCCTATAAAAACGCTTGGTGGAATGTTTAGTGAACCAAAGAAAACATGTAGAAGAAATTTTATTAGAGAAAATGTTCATTCTGTGAGTCAATTACAATACCTTCTAAAGGGGGTGAGTTCAATGTCCAGGTCTAAAACATCAAATGATTTTTTTATGGAAGGCTTTCAAGGCATAGATTGCAAGAGATCAAAAAATGATGTATGCAACAGAAGCAGTATACAAAACTTGAAGCCTAGTTTTCCAAAGAAGAAAAACGCTAAACCTATACCGACACAACAGACATTCTCGGATAGATCAGTACAAACCATAGAAAGCAATTTTGACTACTCTGGAAGCTTACCTGTAAGAAAGCTAGAATTAGATAATAACATTTCTTTAGAAATGGCCATTGATGATTTAAAAATAAGAGACAGCTGTACCAGTAAAATGTCAAGTCAACCAGAACATTCTGATGATATACAATCAAATACAAATAGTACAGAAAAAATAGAGAATAGCAAATCTTCAAATAAAGTTGATAATTTTGAGGCAATTAAGATGACAAATAAAAATGATAGAGAACAAGAAAATTATATTGATCCTAGTTGTCCACCTGGATATAGGCTATTACCTGAGAGTGAAAGGAAACACACTTTAACAACTCTTCGCCAACAATATTTTGAACGTATTAATGAATTAAATTCTTTATCTATTAGAAGTGATACTTTAAGAATACAGCAAAAGAAAACTGAGATTGAGAAAGACCTAAAAAGGATAGATGCAGGAATTCAAACCTTTGACAGACCTAAAGTATTTATAAAAAAATGCTAATATTTGTTTTGATTGCTTATAGTCTTATTTTGAATAATACTTGGACTTTTATTGTTAATTCACTTGTAGTTTTTGTTCAATAATTGGGTTCCCAATAAACTGTCAATAACATTAATAATAGAAATACATATTTTTGTTGGTTATGCAACTCAAAAACTATTTCAAAAAATAAAGTATAGTTACTCAGCAAACATAATCATATTTTATAAAAGTGTTATTTACTTTTCTGACAATTATATATTCTTGTAACACAAATGGTGTCTGACAAAAATGTAATACAAATTATAACAAATTATAATACCTATGTACAATTGGAGGGCTTATTGGAATAATATGACAAGCCACAACATTCATTTATTAAGAAAACACATCTTCAAAGGTCAAAATAAACTTGTAAAACTACTATACAACTTTTTTAAAATGTGATAACTTGATTTTTTTGGCTAATTATGGTATTTGTTGGAGAATTTCCCTTTAGTTTATGGCTTTTGTAACCATATTTTTTAGTGTCCTGAAGTAAAAATACCTTTATTTTAAAAAATATGACATGTCACATTTTTACAATCAGCCCTTCATTTGTTTTAATAAAAAAAGGGTACAAGTTGGTATTAGAATGGGAAGTTGATCTAAATTGTGTCAAACTGACTGCTATTATCACAGTCTAATCTACTTGAAGGGACGCATTTACGGAAGGGAAGGTAATGGGGATAATTACCCCCAAAATTTTTAAACATAACTTTTTATAGGTACCAAAAATGTATTGTCTTGTAAGTCTTAAATATTAACACTACCCCCCAGACTCTCAATGCACCACTGTCTACTTGTATGCTTTTTTAATGAATACAACTACAAAAATCTAAGCAAAAGGGGTGATATGTTTTTCTTAAGCTCATCTAAGTAATATTCCCTTAGCATTATACCCAGCTAGATTTTGAATTTTACTGATTAACTAAAAACAAGCAAAACTTACATCAAGTTTCATTTAAACATTTATGAGTTTAATAATATTTAGTTTGATGCATTATCTTGAATGAACAAATACATACATATTTTTATATTGTTAAGTATTTAATATTTTGTAAAACTTTATGAAATGAAAATTATTTATTAGATACCCAATTTATAATTCTGTCTATTAAGGAACAGTTTGTGATCATAAAAATAAATTGTACTGAGTTCATTATTTTTAATTATTTAAATTTTTATAATCCTAAAATCAGGTGTTAGGATGTTTTATTCAGATAACTCAGATGAGTTTTTTGGTTCACAACTTTTGATATTGGAAATAAAGAATATTTTATGATTGAGTAAGAAGGTAAAAAAAATGGTCCTTTATTTCTCACAAATTTATTTATTAGCGACCGGTTTCGAAGTAGTTACTTCATCTTCAGGTACACCTAAATGGATAATTATGGAGTCAATGCATTAAAGTGAAAGTTTTTTATGAATTATGAAAAAATTGACCAAAAACAACGAACACTAAGAGTGAAAAAAGTTAATAATAATAATAATTTGACTTACCATAACATATTCATTACACGGGTAAACATAAAAGAGAGTCACTGGGTCTAAATGTATTACAAATTGTTGAATAGAAATCTGATGTGTCCAATACATGACTTTCCTATCTAGTTATTACAGGCTTTTTCCGGTTATTTTGTACAACCTATTGCAGCACCTCCATAAATGTTTAGAGGATAAAATAAATATATACATTTTCCACATACATCTACCTCGAAACATTTTTCTATAGATATTCATTGAAAATGAAAATACTGAAAAATTTAAATTTAGCTTTTTTCCTACAATTTTTCCATTACGGTCCATTTTAGAAAAATCATGTATAAACAAAAATTATAGAGGTCGATATCGCAAATAACTTTTATTTCAACAATTTTCATAAAAATCGGAATTTTGCACATTTTGTCAAATTTCTCGAATACGGACCATTTCAGGAAATTTTGACATAAAGCAAAAATTATAGATAATAATATTAGAAATAACTTTTATTTGAACAATTTTTTTCTCCAAACATAAATAACAGATATATTCCATAAAATATAAAAACGGCCCCCCATAAAGTACCCCCCCAGATGTTCCGACTTTGTCCAAAATCTAATCATTTCACGTCAGGCCGAAATAAAAGTTAAGTTTAAAATTTAATGTTTTTTTCTTTATCCGTTTTTGAGTTTTCTTCAAATTTCGAAATTTACACATTTTCTCAAATATCTCGAATACGGTCCAATTTAGAGAAATTATGTATAGGATAAAAATTATAGAGAATTATATTACAAACAACTTTTGTTTGAACAATTTTTATAAAAAAATATTTTTTTACATTTTGTCAAATTTCTCGAATACGGACCATTTTAGGAAAATTTTGTATAGAACAAAAATTTTAGATAATAATGTAAGAAGTAACTTTTATTTGAAGAATTTTCTTCCCCAAACGTAAATAACAGATATATTCCATAAAATATAAAAATGACCACTTATAAAGTACCCCCCCCCAGATGTTCCGACACTGCCCAAAATCTAATCAGCACATTGGACGCTGGAACAAAGCTTAAGTTTGAAATTTGGTGTTTTTCTGTGTATCGGTTCATGAGTTATGCGACACACACACACTGACATCATCGCGAAAATAGTCAAAACGGATTCAGCGGACCTCAAAACGTAAAAATCCGTCGAACACTCGAGGTCGAAAAAAATCATGATTCCTATACTTTCCTTATATCTGTATACAGATACGAAAGTAAAAAATGGGAGAGGGGACTGTATAAAGGTCCAACAGTCAAGTTAAATTAAAAATGTTTAATAAACTACATTAAACAAATATGACATAACATTTAACAAGAAGACTAAAGTTAAAATGGCGTTAATTAAATTTCAAAAAACAATAGATATAAAATGGAAATTAATGGACTCCATCTATAATACAAGGTATCTCCTTAAGAATGGAACACAGAACAACTGAAGATTATTTGTTTACAAATAAGACGATTAAACGAAACATGCTCACATAAAATATTACTGGTTTCTGAAATACTGTGAAAGCTGAAAATTCAAAAATTAATAATGGCTATAATTTTATTTCTCAGTATAATTTTACTAAATTCGGTAAACATTGTTGGTGTCCTACAATACACATTCCAGCAAAACAATCGGTTGAATAAACTTTACCAGTGGCGTACAACACGGATAAGTAACCCTTTTATCTCCTCTAAATTTTACGCCACTGTCCAAAAACTTATTTACATGTTTTAAAGTTTTTGTTGTTTTTTTTTTTAAAATCATATTGGGAACTCATAAAGTGATTGGTTTTCGAGATATTCACACTCATTTTAATTTATTTTGTAATTTTGGATTTTTTATAAACAAGAGTACCTACATGAATTATTTAAAAAACATGGAAAATTCAAAATTATAGTCCAAATGAGTTTTTGGAGAGTGGCGTAAAATTTAGAAGGAATGCCATGCATAACAGTAACAAAGAAATATACTCCAGGTATTGATGAAATTGATGGAAGAATGTTAAAAGCAGCAAGTGACATAATTTGTGCACCAATGTCATATATAATTGAGCATTCCTTTATTACAGGGAAATATCCTGAAAAGCTAAAGACGTCTAAGTCGGTGCCTATTTTCAAAAATAAAGGGTCAAAGCAGGAGGTAATTAATTATATGTAATTATAATTATAAGTAATTATATGTATGTTTGCAGTCCCAGTTTGCAAAAGTTATCGATTATGCCTATTATATAAGGCTTAATAATTTTACCTCACAGCACAAGTTAATTACCAGTTGCCAACACGGCTTTAGACAGAAGAAATCAACATCAACAGCAATAGATGAACTTTGTAACTCCATAATTGACAATCTGAATGGGAAGCAGTGCCCAGTTGCCATATTTTATGACCTAACTAGGGCATTTGATACAGTCAATCATGACCTACTCGTTGAGAAGCTCTTTAGAATGCGAGTCAGAGGAGTGGCTAGCGACTGGATGTCTAGTTATTTAAGCAACAGACGTCAAATAGTCAGTATGGATTCGATAAAATCACAGCCCAAAGATATTAACATGGGAGTACCACAGGGCTCGACACTAGCCCCTCTATTATTTATTATTTTTGTCAGTGACCTCACACAATCATGTAAAAAAGCCAAAAAAGCAGTAATCTATGCAGACGATACGAGTCACATAGTGGCTGAGCATAAACTTGCTTTAGCGGCTGAGTATGCAAACGCCACTGTAGAAGAATTTTCGGACTGGTGCTCAGATAATGGGCTGCTAATTAACATAACAAAAACAGTATTTATGATCTTTCAACAAAAAACATCAGTTATGACTTCTGCCCATTAATTAGGCTTGATCATAGAACGATAGAACAGGTGACAAACTTTAAATATCTAGGGGTTACTCTAGACCAGAAGCTTACATGGGAAGGGCATATTGACAAGGTGGTCTCAAGGAAGAGCAGTTTTTGTTTTATCTTTAGACAACTTCACAATACAACTTCTCTGAATGTATTAAAGTTAGCCTATTTTGGTCTGGTACAGTCATTATTAACCTACTGACTAACTTTTTGGGGAAACGCTTCACATACTGTGAAAGTATTTATAACTCAGAAGAAAATAGTGAGATGTATAACTGGTTCCCACTATAGAGCATCTTGCAAGAATTTGTTTAAATCTTTGGAAATATTAACATTGCCATGTCTCTATATATATTTGACTACTTAAACATTAAGGAAAATGAATCTCAATATATTCGAAATAACATGATTCACGAACACAACACACGGAGAGGCAATGACTTAAGACTGCCATATTCCCGGCTGACCATTGGGCAGGGTTCTGCAGGTTATCAGGGCATCATCTATTTTAATCATATAACTAGGCTTTTGGGTAATAGTTATAATGTTTTTAAAACCCAACTTTTTAAATATTTAGCTGAAAATGCGTTTTATTCTGTAGAAGAATTCCTGCAGATGTCTTAATAATTTTAATTTAATTTTAGATTTATATATAAATATTTTTTATTCTTATTATAGTAATTTTAGATATATGTTGTAAATGGAAGTGCTATATATTGTACTAGCTTTTGCCCGCGGCTTTGCACGCGTGGTGTCGTGTTTGTAATTTAAAAAATGAATGAATATTTATTTTTAGTAATTTTTGTTAATTATTATTAATTTTTATTAGTTTTTGTTAATTTTTATTAATTTTTATTAATTTTTATTAATTTTTATTAATTTTTATTAATTTTTATTAATTTTTAATAATTTTTATTAATTTTTATTAATTTTTATTAATTTTTATTAATTTTTATTAATTTTTATTAATTTTTATTAATTTTTATTAATTTTTATAATTTTTATTAATTTTTATTATTTTTTATTAATTTTTAATAATTTTTATTAATTATTAATAATTTTTATTAATTTTTATTAATTTTTATTAATTTTTAATAATTTTTATTACTTTTTATTAATTTTTATTTATTTTTATTAATTTTTGTTAATTTTTATTAATTTTTATTAATTTTTATTAATTTTTATTAATTTTTATTAATTTTTATTAATTTTTATTAATTTTTATTAATTTTTATTAATTTTTATTAATTTTTATTAATTTTTAATAATTTTTATTAATTTTTATTAATTTTCATTAATTTTTATTATTTTTTTATTAATTTTTAATAATTTTTATTAATTTTTATTAATTTTTATTATTTTTTATTATTTTTTAATAATTTTTATTAATTTTAATTTATTTTTAATAATTTTTAATAATTTTTATTACTTTTTATTAATTTTTATTAATTTTCATTAATTTTTATTATTTTTTATTAATTTTAATAATTTTAATTAATTTTTAATAATTTTTAATAATTTTTAATAATTTTTAATAATTTTTAATAATTTTTAATAATTTTTAATAATTTTTAATAATTTTTAATAATTTTTAATAATTTTTAATAATTTTTAATAATTTTTAATAATTTTTAATAATTTTTAATAATTTTTAATAATTTTTAATAATTTTTAATAATTTTTAATAATTTTTAATAATTTTTAATAATTTTTAATAATTTTTAATAATTTTTAATAATTTTTAATAATTTTTAATAATTTTTAATAATTTTTAATAATTTTTAATAATTTTTAATAATTTTTAATAATTTTTAATAATTTTTAATAATTTTTAATAATTTTTAATAATTTTTAATAATTTTTAATAATTTTTAATAATTTTTAATAATTTTTAATAATTTTTAATAATTTTTAATAATTTTTAATAATTTTTAATAATTTTTAATAATTTTTAATAATTTTTAATAATTTTTAATAATTTTTAATAATTTTTAATAATTTTTAATAATTTTTAATAATTTTTAATAATTTTTAATAATTTTTAATAATTTTTAATAATTTTTAATAATTTTTAATAATTTTTAATAATTTTTAATAATTTTTAATAATTTTTAATAATTTTTAATAATTTTTAATAATTTTTAATAATTTTTAATAATTTTTAATAATTTTTAATAATTTTTAATAATTTTTAATAATTTTTAATAATTTTTAATAATTTTTAATAATTTTTAATAATTTTTAATAATTTTTAATAATTTTTAATAATTTTTAATAATTTTTAATAATTTTTAATAATTTTTAATAATTTTTAATAATTTTTAATAATTTTTAATAATTTTTAATAATTTTTAATAATTTTTAATAATTTTTAATAATTTTTAATAATTTTTAATAATTTTTAATAATTTTTAATAATTTTTAATAATTTTTAATAATTTTTAATAATTTTTAATAATTTTTAATAATTTTTAATAATTTTTAATAATTTTTAATAATTTTTAATAATTTTTTAATAATTTTTAATAATTTTTAATAATTTTTAATAATTTTTATTAATTTTTATTAAGTTTTAATTTTTATTAAATTTTATTTATTTTTAATAATTTTTCTTAATTTTTAAAAATGTTTATTACTTTTTAATAATTTTTATTAATTTTTATTAATTGGTATTAATTTTTATTAATTTTTATTAATTTTTATTAATTTTTATTAATTTTTATTAATTTTTATTAATTTTTATTAATTTTTATTAATTTTTATTAATTTTTATTAATTTTTATTAATTTTTATTAATTTTTATTAATTTTTGTTAATTTTTATTTATTTTTATAAAATTTTTTTTAATTTTTAATAATTTTTATTAATTTTTATTTATTTTTATTAATTTTTTTTAATTTTTAATAATATTTATTAATTTTTATTAATTTTTATTGATTTTTATTAATTTTTATTAATTTTTATTAATTTTTATTAATTTTTGTTAATTTTTATTAATTTTTATTCATTTTTATTCATTTCTATTAATTTTTAATAATTTTTATTAATTTTCACCCCCGTTTTCCCACCTTAAAATGTGAAAATCCAAAAACCATGAAACACTTCAATACTTATTTATGATGAGAACCTACAATTCCAATTTTCAAGTTTCTACCTTTAACAAAATCGATTTTTCCAAATAAATTTTCACCCCCCCCCCCGTTCCCACCCTTAAAATGTGAAAATCCAAAAACCCTAAAACACGTCATTATTAATTTGTAGTCATTAGCTGCAATTCCAATTTTCATGTTTTTAACTATAGAGAGAACCAAAAATATGGATACTCCCAAATAAATTTTCACCCCCCATTTTCCCCCTTATAATGTGAAAATCCAAAAACCCTGAAACACGTCATTAATAATTTGTAGTCAGTAGCTGTAATTTAAATTTTCATGTTTCTAACTTAATAGAAAACAAACAAAATCGATAGTCCCTTAAAAACTTTCCCCCCGTTTCCCCCTCCTTAAAATGTAAAAAATCCAAAAACCCTGAAACACGTCATTATTTATTTATGCTCAGTAGCTGTAATTTAAATTTTCATGTTTCTAACTTTAAAAAACAAAGAGTTTCATTAAAAGCTCCCTCCCCATTTCCTCCCATCCCCCCCCCTTTAAAGTTAAAATATCAAAAAATGCTTTCTTAGCGGATGCTTACGTTATAAAATAAATAAAATAAACCTATGTTCCAAATTTCAGCTTTCTAGGCTCAGTAGTTTTGGCTGTACGCTGATAGGTCAGTCAGTCAGTCAGGACAAACAATTTTATATATATAGATTGTTCTATTTCTTTTTTTTTTGACAAGTCTCATAAATGTACATTTTGTTGTGTATTCAAACATATGTATCTGTATATTTGATAGATGAATTTATTTATTTAAAAGGAAACTAAAAACGATTGCTCAGTGCAATTTTATAAAAAAACTCAAAATTGTAAAATTAAAAATAAATTAAAATGAAGATTATCCACCTTTGAGTGATTATCTTGAAAATCAATCACGTTATGAGTTCCCAACAAGACTACATGATTTATTTAAAAAACAGAAAGTGTAAAAGTATATTCCAAATAAGTTTTTGGAAGGTGGCGTAAAATTGAGAGGGGATAAAAGTGACACCAACAATGTTTACCGAATTTAGTAAAATTATACTGATAATTAAAATTATAGCCATATAAATTTTTGAATTTGAAGGTCTGTAATTTGAAGCATCCATTTTGTCACCCTTCTTAAATGTAGCTGTGACAATTTTTGATGTCTGGGCGTCCCAAAAAGAGTTTTTCTGGACTTTCGACATCCAATGGACGTACAGTGAAGTATACAAATGGCACAGTTTTGACCATTCATAGGACATCCAATTCAGGATTATATTTGGACGTTGATACTGGGCATTCAAAAAACGTCCATTCCTGGATTATATTCCATTGAGACCACATCCCCATTTATTTTTACACAACCGCAACTCGCCACACACTGTTGTATATTAATAATTTTATTAATTATTTTCGCAACTCGTTATACACCATTTTTTTTTTTTTTATTAAAAATCCTGAGCAGGTATTGAACTCATGACACGTCCATTGTCGTTCTAGACCTTCAAGCGCTAGGGACCTCGATCAACGAACCACTTGAAATTTTTTTACTAGATACGATAATAATAGAGTACGATTTCAAACTTCTGCTCATAGAATGAAATGTATTAATAGATTCAATTTGTCAATTTTTAATGACCAATTCTATTAAAAAAATATTGAGTGTTATAGATGGGTATTATCTGGTAGGCTAAATAAATAATGACCTAAGATGGACTTCCACTGAACTTTAAACAAATACTAAACTTAAAATTTGCAGGACCCAGCATCAGATAAGAATAACACTTGATATTCTGAAAACCATGCATCATACTACACTGAATAAGAAGGTATGGAAGTGTCAGGAGGGTGAAGTCAAAAAATAGACGGAACAGAGCTGACCAGATAGATAAGTAATATTTGAGCCAGGAGAGAGTCGATGAATGTTATAAATATGGTAAATTTATGAATGTATTCAGTTTATTTTCATTTTTGTTATAAAACTATGGATGACATAATAAACTCTTAAAAGTATATAATCTTATTACTATAAATTATTTAGTTTTCATTTATTCTCCCTGCCTAAGAAAAAGGTTAGAAAACCCTGATCCTAATTGTTTACAATATTGATATTCCTAATGATACAAAACATTACAGAGGTATGATATTTAGCCGATGAAATCTCATCGAGCTCACGCATGACGTGTTACGGAATATGGTTATCTATGCAGATTTAAATTTATTTTTACGCACTGTTTTCGATCAACTGATACCTCAAATTCGTACAAGCTACGTCTTCGCACAACAATGTGACGACGTACAATCAAATCTGCTTAATCTCGTACCATTTTTTTTTAATATTAAGGATATTCCTTATTGGTGTGGCTGATCATGTTTCAATTGAGTCATTGAATCTAAAAATAACAAATATCAATAAATGGAATTCGGAATGTATTCCAAAAATATTTTTCTGTAGGAATTATATAGGATGTCTCATTAATATACTGACAAACTTTTAAAGGTGGTAGGTGCATCAAAATAAACATTTTTTGCTTAATGAACATAATAATATGTCCGAAAATGCTTCGTTTTGAAACATATTTATTAAGCAAAAAAGTTAATTTTGATGTCCCCTCTACCACCCCTAAAAGTTTGTCGGTATATTTACAGGACCCTTTGTATATTTAAATCTGTACAATATAGTTCCCCAGACAACACACCAAATCCCAGAGATATCCACAGAATATCTTTTGTGGATATCCAGAGGATATCAGAAATATCCCGTGGATCTAATATGGATATCCAAATGTGCGTCTATATCCAGAATATAGAAGATATCCAGCAAAATATCTAATGGGTATCTCCAGACAATACAAGAAATCCCAGAGATATCCACAGAATATATTTTGTGGATATCCAATATATCCACAAGATAATATAGATATCCAGTGGATCTAATATAGATATCCAAATGTCCGTCTATATCCAGGATATAGAAGATATTCTATGGATATTCAGCAAAATATTTTATGGGTATCTTTAGTAGAGGTTCATAAGTAACCAATAGATATATCCTATAGATAAAAAAGGAAATAATTTCAAACTCAAATGTGACCGAGATGTAAATTTTGCCCACTAAGGAGAAAGTCATTCTCGGACCGGTTTCGTCCTTATTAGGACTCTTCTGCAATAAATGGAAATTCTCGACTCCAGTCTCTAATGGAGTCTGATTGTAATACCAATTTCGATCGAACTCAGTTACGGCGGGTTGAGCATGAGTAGATATTCAACGAGCGAAAGTGGTATCGCCATCTATACTTGGTAAGCAAAATCAAAAGGTCGATGTAGTACCTAGTTCAAAGACTAGGTGGACTAAAAGCCAGGCGGGCTATTCTTAAAAAAAGGAAATAATTCTAGTCCTAATAAGGACGAAACTGGTCCAAGAATGACTTTCTTCTTAGTGGGCAAAATCAAAAATTACATCTAGTGGATATTCACCATGGTTTGCGTTCGCGCCTAGACTTTGATATATTTAGTGGATGTCCATGGGATATTGAATACACCTTAAAAAAAAATAATTTTAAATATCTGAACGGTACTATTAACCACAATTGCATAATTTTTTAATAATTTGCTATATAATTACTATTATTTATGGACATTTGCATGTCTATAAATTATATCTCATGGATATAAAATAGATATCCACCATGGACTGGACATTCAGTGCGGATATTGGGATGTCTAGTAGATATTCAAAGGATTTGGTGTGCTGTCTGGCTCAGAAATTACAGGGAAGCTATTACTGAAAAAATAATAGTTACCTATCGATGGTTTAAGTGCAAAACGTAACCCACAAAATTTCAAAAAATCGCTTTTCGCGTCATTGGAGTCGTATGTTTTAGATACGATTCTGTTTATAAATACGGACCTTATAAATACTGGCCTAAAGTACTTACTCTAAATAGGGATACAAAATAAAAGAAGATGTTAAAAAGAAGAAACGTCAATGTCATTATAATTATCAGCTGTCAAGTGTCAAATACATTCAATGCCAAATCAAAATATAAAAGGGGGAATGGGGAATGTGTGTCATTTATTTTATTCCATGTAAACTGTAAACAGTTTACTTTTTGAATGCAAGACAAGTTATACGAAATGTTTAGTGATCGTTCTAAATAAAGTATGGTGACAAAAACAATGACAACTTTTCTTGTTTCGGCCGCAGAATTTTCGAACATTGTATCGGTTCTTGCAGTGCTATTGTGTTTTTGTGCTATGATATTGTTTATAACCAGGTACATACATGTTCTTTATTTGTTTAATATTACTGCCGCATCTTTAACTAAATAATAAATTAATACAGCTTATCAAATAATATAGTTATAAACAAGTTAAATTCCATTTAATTATAAATTACTGTTTCTTCTTCACTACCCTAAAGTTCATAGTATATGCAAAGAGTTTATTTGGTTTTTAATTGTTTTCATGAGGAGGTGTCATAATTCAGTGGAGGAATGTCTGAACGTAGGAGTTTTTAATAATATACTTCTTCTGTTGGACATATTAATTAATTTTACTAAATTCTTGGGTATATACACAAAACAAAAGTATTTATTTGTTTTTTATATTAAATTTACCAGACAAATACTAATGGGGAAAAATACTAGCTTTTGGAAGAAAAATTGAAGGTTGCATTGAATCTCACAAATGATTCAATGACTGCATATTAAATAATAGTTATTTAGTATTTACATTAAATCGTATTAATTGTTATTTATCATTTAAATACTACTATTATATGCACTATCTAGTTACTTAGATATGTTTTATTGTTTCTTAAGAATTACAATTTCCTTATAATAGAAGATTGACATTATTAAAACCTGTTACAATAAAATACATATTATTGTGAAATCAAAATGACCATTACTTTCCTTCACCTCAAAAACATAACTAACACATGGCTACCCCCAGTATAAATCTTGAAACTAGTACTTACCTGCAAGTTATATCAGAAAATAAACTATATATCAAAAAATATAAAATTTAAATACTTAAGTAGTTTCTATCTTACTAACTTATTGACATACACACAAAAATATATAGCTACTTAAAACTGTAAGAAAATATATACTCAAATAAAGGTATATAATAGGTATATATTTATATTATTATAATATTCCTTATGTTTTTATTTAGTTAAAATAAAATGAGAAAGTATTTTTTTCTTTACATTAAAATCTAACTGTTATTATCTGAGGTCTGTGAAGAAACTTTTATAAAACGAAGTTGGCATTTATTTGTCAACGTTTGCCCAACAAACATTTTCATTTGTTCACCCTTAAAAAAAAGTTAGTACTCATGACAAAAATAAAAATTTGAGCCGAATTTTACATCAACACTGCATAAAAACTGTTTATTAATTTCAAAGTGGCATTTGATTGTACATAATTTGTCCACGTTTATCCACCCAAAGGTCCTTTTATCCACCTCTCATAACAAAAATATTTAAAAAATAAAAATAATAATTCGTCTGGTCCTTAGGGACAACCTTAATAGATATGATTTGAATTAAATAAGTACGGCAATCTAATGTCCACTCATTATTTAGGTTTGTCCAGGCCTTAATTTTCGTTTGTCCACCCAATGGAAATTAGTTATTAACAAATAAAGGACCCAAAATATGAAAATTTATAATATAAATGAGTACTTCTAATGGCAATTTATTAAAACTGAGTACCTACCGCAATCGTTAGTCCACACATTTGGTTTGTCCAGACCTTATTTTTGTTTGTCTACCCAAAATTAGTTACCTATTAACAAAAAGAACTCAAAATGTGAACAATAAATATTATTGTAAGTAAGTTTTTCTAATTTCAATTTATTAAAACTACTGCAATCGTTTGCCCACTTATTATTTTCATTTTGTTTCTCCACTTTTTGTCCACTTTCATCTAACAAATCATTTTTATTGTCCACCATATAAAAAAAAAGTTATAACAAAATTAAAAATGTTAGTCAAATTTAACATCAGCACCGTCAAATACTTTTTAATAACTTCAAAGAGGCGTTCAATTGTCCACGATTTGTCCATGTTTGTCCAACCAAAAGTTTCGTTAACCCCTCGAAACAGAAAAAAAAATTGATTTATACTTAGGGACAACATTAGTATTTTATTCAAAATAAATACGGCAGTCCTTTGTCCACACATTATGTTCGGTTGTCCACCCAAAAAAAAAAATTGTTATTTACAATATAAAGCACCCAAAATAAAAACAATAGCAATTTATTAAAACTAACTACTGGAATCGTTTCTCCACACATTATTTTGGTTTGTTAACGCCTCATTTTAGTTTGTCTACCCAACGAAAATTAGTTATTAACAAATAAAGAACTCAAAATATGAACAATTATAAATATAAGTAAGTTCTCCTAATGGCAATTGATTAAAACTAACTAACATACCTACATAAAAAAGTAATCCAACGAATTGAGAACCTATCTCCTTCTTTTTTTTTAAAGTCAGTTAAAAGCAGATCTTTTTTTATTTGTTAAACAACAAAAAAGTCCCAGGAAAGGAGTAACTCTAAAATCTTGTAAAAATGTTTATATGGTACCTTATGCAAGCCAGAATATTATATATATACCAAGTTGAAGCTTATCTGATCTTGTGTATGAACACTATGGTACCATATTAATATAAGGCTATTATTGTTATTATTTAGGAATCAACTGATATGATTTTTTGTGGCAGATACCGATATACACATTGCTGATATATGAGCCATAAATTTTGATTTTGAATATTTCACTATAAAACTTAGTAAAAATTGGCTCATTATACTCCGTTAGCAAAAAAATTGCTAAGAAATCAAATGAGGTAAACCAAGAGGTTCAGGACAGCATCTCTGACTCGATTTCTCAAGGTTTGTTTTGGAA